AGCAAAGGATAATGGGACAGTGGACTACAGTGAGTATCTCAGTCAAGGGTGGATTGGCTAGCCTGAAGGAGCTGGCTGGTCACAGTGTAGAAGAGAGAACATTACTGTCTCTTAATGTACTACATGGAAACAGACCAGGGAAGAGGAGGGAGAGAAGATTGCAACCACTGCCGAGCACATGGTGGTAAGCACTAAGGACATGGAGATGAACATACCAAGGATGGCATGCCCTCCGCTGCAACTAGCAGAGAAACAGGAAAATAAAGCAGTAACTGGGACATACAAAGCCATTTGTCTTACTGGATGTACATAAATACATACTTGGAGACAGGGAAAGAGGAAGCGGGAGACAGAGACAGAGACAGATGGATGGGCAGAGTGGGGGCAGAGGGAAGGAAGGAAGGCAGATAAGCTAGTAAGTTATAACCATAGCACCTCAGTAATGCAAATAAGGAAAGACTGCCACTTCTGCCTGAGGGAACATGGGGCGCACAGGAAAGTGGATTAGGGTAGTTATGACAACTTAGAAAGCTTAACTCTCTCCAAATGAACAAGGCAAAGCATGGACAAGGACAGCAGATGAGCAAGAGAATAATGAGGGTGGGCAGGGAGCACTGATGGCCCAGTGTTCTAAACATGCGTGTGTGTGTGTGTGTGTGTGTGTGTGTGTGTGTGTACACATGTACAGACCCATATGAACATCTCTATGCAATGTCAAAAGCATGTTAGCATGTGCATGTTGATGAGCATGGATCACACATATGCACACACATCTCTGTTGCTGATAACTGTGGATGCCTCACTACCCCCACCTGCTCAAACTTGTCACCTAAGTTCACAGCCAGTCACCTAATATCAACACTTGTGTTTCTTCCTCTGCTGCGGAGAAGTACTTGGTTATCTGAGTGGCAGCTGGAAATAACAGCCAACTGTGACCCTTCCAGAGACAGTTCTCAGTCAATGGTTGACGGGAACTGGCATAAGTGCATCTCAGGCCCCAGCCCTCTGGAATAAAAATTCTGAGGCACGAAGTTTATACAGGCTTCAAGAGGTTCCTAGACAAGACTAAGATCTACCTACAGCAGTGGCTCATTGAGGTCCTGGTTTTTCTGTGTTCCTGTAACAAAACTCCACAGGTTGGGTAATTTATAAAAAACAGAAACTCAGTTTTCACAGTTCTTAAGGATTAAAATAAACACACACACACACACACACACACACACACACACACACACAATGAGGCACCCAGTTTGGCTGGTGAGAGCTGCTCTCTGCTCTCAAAACAGTACCTCTAGCTGCATCCTCCCGAGGAGAGGAATTCTGTGTGCTCACATAGCACAAAAGAGGGAAGGGTAAGAGAGGTCAGACTCCTATCTCCTGGGCACTTACAAATCCTCCCATAATAGCAGCTCCTTGCCACCTAATGGACTCCCCAAGCACCAACTTGACAGCACTACCACAATGGAAATGAATTTTAAATACATGATTATGGGGCAAGGTGGGGGCAGTGCTCAGGTCCTGGTACTTGGCAGTGTACCCTCAACTGGGTACCAGCCTTCCTTATCTCCCATATAGACTCATAAACTACCTACATTAAGTTGTTTGCCTCAGGGTCTGTTTCTAGCAAAATCCAAATTTAAATATGCAAATGTGTTTTCATGTTAGTGTTTATGGCCATGCTCATATATGTTTGCATAGTTATTTGTATATTCATGCCTATATGTATATTTAAACAGACTGTTAAAATACAGACTATGTGCACACAAGTATGCAGCCACATAAATACAGCTGCCCCTCCATATCCGTGGGTTATACAACTGTGGATCCAATCACTTACAGATTCAACTGTCTATACGGACCATATCAAATGTTTTTGTCATTATCCCCCCAATACTTGAGTAAAGTAATTGTTTACATCATTAGAATACAACATAATAAAATTTACATATCATTTGCTTTGCTTTAGGTCTTCTAAAACAATGATTATCGTCTAATGATTATCTTAAGTATACAGAAGGGTTGCATAAAGAACTTAAACATCTTCTGATCTCAGTGTTCACAGGAGATCTGAAATCAATCTCTAACAGATTCTGAGAGAAAACTAATATGATATACATGTTTGAATACACAAGCATACTATACTTGCGTTACTCTATATGCAACATTAGCACTTACCTTTCTGTTAAAATAAAACACATGGTCCTCCTCTGTAGGGGAAGCCTACAGACTAATGCTCTGAATGCCCTTCCAACTTCCACTCCCTACCCCATCCACTCTACCCATAGAACCTCTTCAGTCAAATGTTCTAGCTCCCAGTGGGTCTGGTTAAAACTTCCCAGCTCTACCCTCTTGTTTGTTAAGAGGTTTCCTCACATCTTTGCTCACTTTACACGTCAAAATTCTCAGCCCAGCTGCTGAGCAAACCTGGCAAGCAACAGAGTGAGACCACAGGTTTGAAACTTTACACTCACAAGCAAATATCCCCACAGCCACCATACCCGAGAAAGGGCCATCAGCTACCCAGACATCACTTTCTCTTTCATGTTTTAAAAGTTAACTACATGAAAAGAGAGCAAAAGGGAAGAATTTTAGAGCCAGGCCATTTCAACAATGAGCCCCTGGAATAAATGTTTATATCTTAAACTTGTATTCAAGAAAAGAATAACTGCTCTGAGCTGCCCGGTATCCTAGCACACAACACACCCTGTCCTCAAGCATGAGTCCATCCTTTCTCCCTTTTATTCTAATAGTCTAAACCAGTGGTTCTCAACGTTCCTGATACTGAGGCCCCTTAATACAGTTCCTAGAGTTGTGGCGACCCCCAACATAAACTCATTTCTTTGCTACTTCATAACAATTGTAATTTTGCTAGAGCTATGAAGTGTAATGTAAATATCTGATAGGTAGGAGATCTTATATGTGACCCCAAGGGGTTGCCACCCACAGGTTTAGAACCACTGGTAAAGACTGGCAATGAGGATCAGAACCAAAGCCACTAGTTGCACTGTAAGTGATGAGGACAGCAAGAAGAAGTAGAAGGAAGCTAGGGCCACAGGCGCAAAGGAAACTGGATTAACGTGCGGGAAGGGATAGACATTACAGGTCTGTAGAGAAGCAGCTAAACAGGAAAGCTTGGGCAAATGTCAACTGGAAATGCAAAGAGGACTTCCCGGACCTGAGCCTGGCCCTCAGTGTGTTCCATTCCGCACGCACTGAATTTAAAAACACACAAAATCCACACGCCTCAGTATGGTTAAGTCTGTGACCCCTGTACACATAAACTCATTTCCAGCCCCAGTTCTGGAAACTTCTGACTGACATCATTGGCAAAACTACAGAGGTTTCTCATCCTTCTTAGCACCTGCCAAGTTTCTTCCCCACGGAGGGTTGACTGTTTGACTTTGGCACACCTTTTGCAGAAAGACAATTTGTTCATGCATGTATTTACTATTTCCTATTGAAATCTGCCTTGGTTTTCCTCCACCTATTCCCAAAAACTTGACACACAGAAAGAAAGAAAGAAAGAAAGAAAGAAAGAAAGAAAGAAAGAAAGAAAGAAAGAAAGAAAGAAAGAAAGAAAGAAAGAAGAGGAAAGACAGGGGAGAGAGGGAGAGAGGGAGGGAGGGAGGGAGAAAGGAAGAAAGAAAGAAAGAAAGAGAGAGAGAGAAAGAAAGAAAGAAAGAAAATGTTACATAGTCCATTATGGAAGGAAAAATAATCTAGAGACAGGCAATTTTTAACAAAAAGTAGAAATTGCTAATATAAAAAATAAGATAAAGCTATTTACCTATAGTAAGAGAGAAAACAGAAGATTAAGAGAATGCACAAGCTCGTGTTTGTTTTCATTAGGAGGCTTCTTTTGTGTTTGTAATACATTGCATGAATCCTCTGATTTTTCTATCTAGATATATGCATACGTATCCCTCTTCCTCCCCTGCTCCCTTCCTTCCTTCCTTCCCTCCATACAGACACCATCACATGAGCCTGGTCACATCTACTCTGACATGGACTCAAGATTGAGTGAGCATGTGCTGCAGGAGGAAACTTAGAAAAGACTTCCGGAGACCTGTGACTCCCGGGGCTTCCCATGCCTCTGCTTTAGTAAGACCAGGATGGCAGCATTCCTTGTGTATTTCCTTCTACTATGCAAAGATGCATCTGTGTCACCAGTGACTTGGGAAATGTGTGCTCTAGCAATACATGCTGTGCTACTAACTGTATTACTAACAGTATATGCTGTAGTAGCTCCTACTGAGAATAACCTGGAGCAATGACTGAACACCAGACTCCCCGTCACCACCATCACCACTGGTTTTACATCTGGCTTAAAATACATTAATTTAAAAATTCCCTTTAAAATCAGAGCACAGGCCAAACTCTTTTCCTCTCTCTTACACATGCTTGAAAAGATGGGTCTATGGGTGTCTCATCAATTTCTGCCATGAGCCTGTTATTTATGAGCAATTTCCACCCATCTATTCCCAACAACCATAGATGACCAGCCTTCACCTCACCCCACAGAGCACATTGATATCTTCATTCTTTTCCCACTTTGCACTAAAACAAAAGCTCCCATGGCAAGAAGCCCCTCTGCTCCGTGAAACAGAAGACCTGTGGTCTTCCCCAAATAGGGGTGGAAGGACTCCTCTATTTGAGGGGAAAGTAGATCTTAATGAAAAGCCAGTTTGGTCTCCAGAGGATGCTGCTCAAGGTCTGCTGACAGTGATGATTATACAGTTGAGGATCTAGTAGGGCAAGGCCAGAGGTGCTGCTGAACATTCTGGAATGAATGCATGCAAATGGGTCCATAGCACAGAACCCCAGGCCAGAAGGTCAACATCACCAGAATTGAGAATCTTGCCCCACTTGGAGTGGGGTTTTTCCTTGGCTCTGCATCATGAGAGCCTGAGTAGAGAGAATAAAAGATGAGTCTGCTGTTAATGAAGGCAAGAAGCAGTTAGCCCTGAGGATCATATGGTCAACGTCGTCGCAGTACTTACAACGCAGGAACACTTGACGCATTTGCTTCCTTCTGGCTGGAATTCTTCTCCTTCTTGGTACTGCACACCTTCGAACACACAGCCTGGAAAGCAAAGAACTTGCAATTAGGACAACAAACTTCATTCTGCGTGGCATGATCCCTCCACCTTCTGATTTGCCATCTCCCAGCTGTACCTCTCCCTCTACCCAGTAGAAATCCCCTTTGATCACAACATCAGGCATAATTAAAAGGGGGAAAAGATACAATTCAGGTGATTGGCACGTTGACACAGGTCCAGAAACCCTGAAGATGCTAGGAAACAACCGACAGAGGAACTTGAGTCAGCCCATGGCCAGCAGATGCGCTACAGTGAGTCATGCAGTGAGACTTCGGAGCTACAGCAGAATGGTGCTGACCACAGCCAGGGGGACGAACTCCAGAGAGGTCAGAAGAGGCCAAAGCAAGGCCGAGGGAGGGAGGGTTGAGATGAGAAAGAGCAGATGCCTCTGTAGGCGGCCACTTGAGTACCAAGAATTACTCAGCCTAATCCTGGCCCAGCATGCCCCTGGCTCCCACATCACCTTCCAATACTGCAGAAAAAGAGCTCTGTCTCTCTTTCCACAGACAAGGAAAACACAGCAGGTGACTGAGTTGTGATTTCAACCTGGTTTTGATACATGTGATACCTATACAGAGGGTCATGCACACAGGCAGTGATGTGCTGGGACAAGACAGTGTGTGCCCTATGGTTTTCTGCTCCACTCTGTGTGTTAATGGGCTGTGGCCCCTGCCAAGTTTAGCTCAGAAAGGCTCTCACCTGCAGGAGATGTTTCAGGACAGTACTTACTCTAAGTGACATGAGACACAGGCTAGCAAGCAACTGGGTCACACCAGCCACAAGACTGTCAGCAAATGACAAAACCACTTCCTTCAAGACTGTCCTCATAGTAGACAATGTTGGAAGTAGAACTACCTATGGTAAGCTTTGGAAGGACAGAGAAGTTCTCAAGACAATGTTGTAAGAAATCACCAAATTCTCCTAGGAACTAATTCCTGATGAAGCAGAATGAACATTGTTCTGGCTGACCTGGAACCTGGTCCTACCAATCTTCACACTCTTTGCTCAGTAGAAAGATATGAAGATAAGTGCTGAATCCAAAATATAGAAGCCAAGTAAAGGCAAATGCAAGTGATGTCCCAGGGATAAGATCTCTTTTTAAAGTTATACCCATAGCTAACAATCAGCTGTCTCCTCGCTGTTCTGGACGATTTTGAAGATTTTGGTAGCACGGTTTTCCCTGTGGCTGTGTCTCAGCACCATTCATAATGACAGATATTTAATGGCCTATTTCCAAAGGACATTCCTAACGAAATGTCTTCAGTTCTTTCCCATGTTTACACCTCTGACTCTGTCATATGGCTTGCCACAAAAATCTATATTTGACAACTTAAACAACAGAATTTAAAATAATTCTATTTTCTTCACCCCTGCTGTCCTTGAGCAATACTCAGACTACAATGAAGGAGCAGACAACCAAGAATGCCCTGAAATTCATTTCAGGAGGAAACTGGCCACATGTTTGTCATTACAGAGAATGCCAGTCTGATCAATGGCAGATGCCAGTCCTTCTGAATTACCAGGGTAAACACCCCAAGGCTTTCCTTGACTGTCCCTATCTAGACCCCACTGAGGCTTCCCTCCAAGACAAAGGATGAGACATTCCGGAGATGGTTCCTCCTGAATCTTCCAATTTGCATCCCAAACAGGGTCACTGGAATTCAGGAGAGGGAGCAAAGCTGATAGCTAATCGCATCCCCAAGGCTCCAGGACTGTCAGTCAGGGGAAGTGTGTGGCACTGTCATGATCATTTTTAAATACTTGCCTTCCAGGGCACCAGAACAATTCTCTGGGCATTGATGGGGTAGGCTGTGTGACTTGATGGGAGGAAAGAGAAGAAATCTGATTCTGGCCCCATCCATGGCCCTTGGCCACCAAGGCCCTCATAGTCACTGGGTCTGATTTCTTGTCCTACGGACAACACCTTGTACATCCTTGGATGGCAGTGAGGACTGCAACATGTCCAAGAATGGGGCTCAACTCCCTCCTTCCTGGGAACCGAACCCAGCGTGCAGTGACAGAAACAAGGAAACTTTACTCTGAAATAAACGCACCCTGCCAACTGCATGCTTAGGTTTCAAAGGCAACCTAAAAACATGACTATCTCTCAGTGGCAGGGTATTGTTTATATACAGGGAAAGGTGTTGAGTTCCAAGGAACCCTTTATGTTACCCCAATATTACATTGCTCCTTGAGCGCTCCTGAGACTGTGAGGAGGACCCTGAATTGATTCTTCATTGATAAATCAACTGTTTACTCACTAAAACTATACAATAATTTATAAATTATTAGCTGCATACAGAAATTACCCACTAGCCCACCCCTCCCACTGCCTTGAATATTCAAATAAAATTTGCTAGGATGCAGCCTAGGTAATAACATTTTTTCCACATACAGTCTAAAGAACTGATAATATGACTGAATAAATCTCCTTTAGGATCAAAGGACATGCTACCACAGTTCAAATCACCTAGCACACTCAAAAGGAAAAGTTTTCCAACAAACCCCTGATGATGCAAAGCAGTTGGCTCATGGAATTGGTTCACTTATCATCAGTTTTTTCACCTGTGTAAACTGAGCAACTATCAGTTTCCTAGAAACCCTAAAGTGAAACAAAGCTGGATAAAGACCTCTCAGGACATGAAGAAAACTAGAAGCAAGGGAAACTACCAATGGGTTTTCAGTGGGACTGGCATGTACAAGGAGAGAGCCTGAGACCATCTCTGCAGAACACCCCACACGAGGCTTCTGCTGTCTCCAAAGAGCAGCCCGGCCCTTTGCACGCTACCCCACAAAGCAGAGAGCAGTAGTTGTCGAGTATCATCACTAGTGAGGAGACACAAAACACCTGTCTGAGACTATTGGCCACAGGCTTAAGAGATCAGGAAAAACATCTCTCACCTCAAAATCCCCAAGCTCTCAAGAGAGAGCAAGAGAAGACACAGGAGCCCTCCCCACCACCAGCAGAAAAGGCTTCCTCTGCTGTCAGCTTGGAATAAGGACCCTCTCCAGAAAGACAGAGGGCCCAACTTGTTAAACCACACTGAAAACTGAAACCGACAAAACTCCAAACTAAAGTCATGTGGGACACAGCTCTCAGCTTTCAGAAAACATCTGGTCACCTCATCATCGTGACACGCTCTGGCCGAGGTATTGCAATAGGAAATAGTAAAAAAACATTCTGAATGCAAGCAGAACCACAGTCCTTCCTTCCAAAACAAGCATTACCTGTGGCCCTGAGTGGAAAGCAGGCCTCTGAGCTTGGGGAGTCCACAAGCCAAGACCTACAGCACATAGTCCCACTCATGATGGGCACACAAGAGCCCAACAGATATTGCCACTGGAAGGAGTTTCCTCTCCAGGATCTTTATGTGCACAGATGTAAAGTGGGGTCCAGTCTGGGGGAGAGAGGGAGAGGGATGCATTGTTGACAGAACATAGCAACCTCCACAACAGGGCAGCATCAGGAAGCCCATCCAAAAGCTTCCCTTCTTGAGCATTACCTGGACAGGTAGGGCAGCAGGTTCCTGGATGATCTGAGGGGTTTTTACAATGAACAACACAGCGCACCTCAGACTCTGTGACAACGCCCTCCTGAAATACAAAATGTTACGAGTCAGCCCAGGGTTGCCACTTGAGTTACTTCTTTGGGGAAGCAGCAGGATGAATCCAAATCCCCCAAGAGCAGGATTGGCTGTTGGGCCTCAAAGGCAGTGACATGTATGAGGCAAGGCCCAGCTCACCAGAAAGGATGCTTTAGACCTTGATATACATGTACTGACTATTGTCATTTGTCATATCCCTGTACTCAGCCTTTGGTCCTGTGTTTTCTTCCTGTAAATCTACTTAAAAGGACCTCCTTGGGCAGTGACCCTCTGACATCTTGGTTGGTCATTCATAATTGTTTTAAGTCATCTGTAGTGACTGCTTCCTAACACTTACTGTGCTGCCAGCCATTAACTACAGGATCAGCAGGCCTGGACTTGTGTCCAGAAAAAAACACAACTGGGAAAATCCTTAGCACCTTATAGAAAGAGTTGCCAGCTCCATACTCTTAAAAGAGCCACTTGGCCTCCAGGAGAACCTCAGACTCAGTTTCCTCCAGCAGTAAATGAAAAGATTCAAGAAAATTATTTCTAAGTTCACCTTAAGTATGTCAAAACAGATAGTGTAGGTTCAAACAATGAAATCAGGAGCACCGATAGCAATCTGATATCAGGGCAGTGATATCTAAATGATTATTGAAACTTTGGACTTTTGATCATATGTTGCTTCTTTTGAAATGGGGTCTCAGGTATCCCAAGAGGTCTTGAACTGACACAGAACGACCTTGAACTTCTGATTCTTCTTCTTCCACCTCCTAAGCACTGGGATCACAGGTGTGCACCACCATGACAAGTTTCAGGAGAAAGACTTTTGACATTAATTTTTAGTCCTAGCTGAGTTCCCTCTGTAATCCCTACTCTCCTTTTTCTTAATGAATCCATGCTCTTATTAGTTTGATCTGAGATTGAATCAAGAGTAGCACAGGCTGAAGGTACACACCACAATCTCACAACAAAACCATTTTCTTCAATGTGTCTGCCCTACAGCATCCAACTTAACAATGGGCATTGTATACTAAATATTTTTGCATCATGCCAGGCTTGAAGGCAGCACTACTAGGTGAATTTATTACATCATTTATCACACTTGGGGGAAGGGATCCACAAATAGACACTTAAAATGTGTTCTTTAGTGCTATGGGTTAGGGTCAATTTTCCTTCAGTGGCTGCTATCGAAATGGAGACCTCAGGGTAATTCTCAGCATGAATTGGTCATATGTGACCTCCAGATTTTCCTCTTCTAGTTAGAAATTAGAAGTGGGAAAAAAATGTAAAACTTTCATCATTAGAACTCCTCTGGCACAGAATATAACAAATATATAGAATTCTATGCAAATGGAAAAGGACAAGATTATTAGGCTTTTTGTCACCTGCCCAGTACCTAGTGCATCTCCTAGAAGCACCTTAATGAGTCTCTCTCTCTCTCTCTCTCTCTCTCTCTCTCTCTCTCTCTCTCTCTCTCTCTCTCTCTCTCTCTCTGCTCATCACCTCCCATCTCTCTCTATCCCCTTTCTACAGAGGTGTGGAGAGCACACTGACTCCTCTGTTACTGATTTTGTGTGCTGGAAAGAGACTATAGCTTTGCTTACTTCATAACAACATAAGTGCCTCATAAGTGCCAGAAAGGCCTGCATCCTTCTATGAGGTCTCATTCCCTAACGAGGGTATTAGGAGGCAGGAACAGGAAGATATTTGCTGCAAATATATCCCAGGGGATTGGTTTCCTGCTTGTTGAATGGGGTGTAAGTGAAGAGCAGGCCCAAAAGGTGAGATTCATCTTTGGAAGGGAACAAGCCCTCCCTCCCAAACCTTCTGCAGCATTCTGCACTGGAGCATCTCTTCAGCTCCAGTAATGATGTGCTCTTGGGGTGGGGGTGGGGGGCTCCACTGATAGGCAGGATGATAGACAATAGGGGGCACTCTTCATGAGAGGAAATACCCATATATAAGGTCTTCCATTTAATTTAAAGACTACCTTCAACCATTCAAGACAGAAACATTGGCTGTCATCTAAGCAACCTGAGGATCTGTAAGACCTCAGAACTGATGTGCACAGTGTTATTCAGGATTCCTCAGCATTCATTATAAGCTTATTTAACAAACATTGTAACCAAGACTTTCAGAATATCCCCAGCAAAGACAGGAAATCTTATCAATGCAGGAGCAGGGTGGACCTGAAAATGTTGACAATGATGTGGACTTTGATGTTGTCATTAAAACTCACTGCTCTTGTATCTCTGTGACTTGAGTCTGATTAAGCTTACAATCAAAAGTATACTTGGTGTTTATTGATTCAACTTATATCATTTTTACCTACTGTTTACTTCACATACAGCTTACTACATAAATAAGCCAAAAAATGAAATAAATAGGTCTAATGATCGAGAATGCCTATTGTGCACTAAAGCCTACAGCATAATAAAACCATGCGTGACTTTACAGAATTTAGATTTCAGAAGCAAAGTGTCAACATCTCAGATAAGGTCCGAGACAACATCCAGTATCCTACTCACCTTCCGGTCCTCCTCTGACTGTAAACACTTGTGGTGAGAGCGGCAAACAGTTTGGAATACAGTAACTTAACAGTATCTTCATAAAAATAATACATTTGAAGGTATTTAAAATCAGATGAACATTTCTTTTTTGAGCATAAGAAGCATACATTTATTAAGGAAAAGTGAGGAAGAACACCAAAGGGTTGGAGGGGCGTCAAGAAAAGAATATTCTATAATTACTGTATTTTTAAATTTACTGTGTGTGGGGGGGGCATGATATGTATATAGGGCCATGAATGCTGTGTGCAAACGTGGAGGCCAGCTTCGGAGTCTGTTCTCTCCTTCTGCGCAACTGCAAGAATTCTGAGGATTGAACTCAGGTCACAGGACTTGCACGGAAAGCACAAACCCCATCTCCCTCCAAGCTACTGTCATTTTTGATGCAGTATTTCTGTACAATAAGGAAAAGAGTACAAGAATTTTGGCTGTTTGGTTCATCTTACCGGGTACAACATTAGAGCCACGTGGAGCAACTGCTCCCTGGTGAACTAAACAAAGATCAACAGTGGACTCCATACGTGCTGAACCTGTGATTCTTTTTTTTTTTTTTTTTTTTTTGGTTTTTACGAGACAGGGTTTCTCTGTATTGTTTCGGAGGCTATCCGTCCAGCCCGGCCTTGAACTCACAGAGATCCGCCTGCCTCTGCCTCCCGAGTGCTGGGATTAAAGGCGTGCGCCACCACTGCCCGGCGAACCTGTGATTCTTATACTGGTCGGGTTAAATCCGTAAGCTACATTATTTAATTTCTTCATTTGAATAGAGTTTACAACACAGCTCCTGCTCAAAATCTTTTTCAATCAAAGGATAGAGTATCTCATCCGAAAGAACCTCTCTTCTGCTAACAAGAATTCATGCTTTGCTCAAGGATGATTTCACAGGACTATATGAGCTTCCTCAGGGACACACACATCTTCCCCGCACTTTCCAACCTAAGAGTAACGGTGGTGTAATGGAGGTGGCCAATTCTGCTGGGTGTTTCTAGTCTTATTCAATACCTACTGTGTACCTGTCTCCTTCTGGCTAATGTCACAATAAATAATACACGGATAGAGTTGTCCCCCCATCCTCTCTTTCTGGACTTTTAGGGGACTTTCCGTGTTATCTGAAAGTGGTGACTGAGGGGGAGCAGAGAAGTTGGGTTTTACCTGGCACTGCCGCAGGACACATGGCTCACCGGGGCTTTGCCATCTGGAGGAGCTGTTATAGGTTCTTCCTTCATGGGTACAACCTGGAGAGGAAGAGAAGAAGCCAAAGATGAGTGTGATTCCTCTCTCTTTGGAACAGAAGTATGTATGTCATGTGACATGTAAGGCTAGCTCCTTGGCAATGTTTTCTTTCCTACAACACACATACATCTGCTTGGCACACAATCACATTAAATTTTTCACTACTGCATGCATTAACCTCACAGACTATATTTTCAGATAGAAAACCATATACAACTCTCTAGGCAAACATAAATAAAATTATTATTTTATTTATGTTTTATCAAATATGAGAATACCATATCTAAAAATACTGCAGTGAAAGAGAATTTGGCATGAGAGTATAAGAATTAAAAATTGCTGAATGTTAAGACAGCAGTATAAAACATTGTGGGAAATATAAAAGCGTGAATTAAAATATAGAGGTTGATACAAAATTCTAGTAACTATGACATTCACTAAATCAAACTTTCCAAGGCTTATTTCACACCTCAAAGAGCTATGCCTTCCTATTTCACTTTTGTTTACTCTTAGGTAGTAAATTTAAACAAATCTGAAATTACTAATGCATGGGTTATTACATGCTGAGTTAATAGGAAAAACAAAATTCATACTAATTCATTGGCAAAAACAGAAGTTAGAGGCTAGAGATCCTCAAAAGAGAACAGTTTGGCTTAAGTCCCTGGGAAGAAGCCAAGGAAGTAACAGAAGAACATAATTCATTCAATCTGGATTCAGAGTTTACCAACAGCATCCTCTATGCTGTGGCCTAGACTTGCTGTTGAGATGAACATGGATACACCTATCGTCACTGTTTCCTTAGAAGCCCACTAGATGAGAGATTTACCACAATACAGAAAAGGGAGAACATGTGCCATGAGAGCATTGTTACAAAATAAAAGGGCTGCCCCTCTGCTACAGAGGTGAACTTCTGATACCCTACTCAGCCTCAACTCCATCAGTGGACCTTGTTCAAAAGAGGAAGAACTCACCTTCTTCCAGGAGCTCTTTCAAATAGCACCACGGCTAAGGGTTCTTAATTCATAGTAACAGAATAACAAAGGGCTTGTGGAATTTTCAACAGATGGTTTCATAAACTCAGATCCCTGACCTGAATTTCCGAGCATCACGAATGACTGAGAAAGCTTAGTGATTCTTTGCTCTCCGGTGCCTTCCACATCAAATGACTGAAGTGCACGGCTGATTGGAAACATATCTGGGCATTGCTTTCACTATATATTTTTTAATTTCCTCTGCGTGGAGTGTTACAGAGATAAAGTGTTCAACCACAAGAACCTTTAGCATACTGCAAATACATATGCCAAACCAAGGATGAATACAGAACATTTTCAACAATGAAAAGCAATATAGAATGATTTGGGCTAGCATAAATCTCACTGAGCAAATGCATAAGCAGCAACATGCCATGTGCCTGTCTGATCTACTAATACAGGCTTGTTTGGATAATAAATAAGTTGTTCCAAGTGATGGAAACAGAGAAATCAGAGAACCAAATCTCATTCATACTAAATCCAAGCAAATACAAAACGCCTGCCAAGTGGGCCAGTACAGTGGAGTTTTCTAGGTGTGCTATATATTTTCATCATCTGGATTAAAAAATGTAAAGACAGAGCAAAATTTTTTGCTACTAATAGAGCTCTTGCCTTTCCACATGGAGGCAGGAAACCTACAAGAATGGTCTCACAGACTTGGGAGGCCATGCAAACCCCCTCCCCTCACTCCCCACCCCCCACCCTCCCACCTCCCCACCTCCCACCCCCTACCCCTGCCAAGCAATGCCAGGCCATGTGCCGAGAGCTCCAGGAAGAACATGAAGTTGTACAGAGTATTCTGCTCTGAGCGGAATGGAGGCATCAGAACAAGCTGTCCACCACGCAGGGAACACAATAGTGTCTTTGGCTGCAGACAACTCTGTGGGGAGTCTGGTTTCTCCACTGTTTTTGAACACAGAAAGAAAAACTGGGCAATAACATTAGAAAATTAGACCAAGGTCAGATTGTGAGGGTTATTGCTGAACTTCCCTGCTAAGGAAGGTGTCTGTCTACAGTGCCTGAGTCCACACACTAGATGTCTCTGAATGATGGATGAAGCTGGACAACTGAGTAGGATCAAAATATGCTCTCACTAGCTGACTCCAGAGACTTTGACGCACTGGCCCTAGACATACCATTTCACAGGCAAGAGATTCTTGGGAAAATGATTACTAAAGACAAGATCTTCTTATTAGGGTCCATCCAGTTCTAAGACAAACACATTTTCTTAGAGCAAAACACCAATGAGCTTTGTGAAAACTCCAAGAAAACCTTAGCATTGCCCAGAAATGAATTGTCTCCTCTTGAGAAAATTTCTATAACAAATTCTATTGCCATAAAATTAGTGCTAACGAAAGATTAGTCAGGCATTCTCTTGCTGTCCGCCCAATTTAAAGTCTCACAGGACAAACTGCATTGTCTCTTATTAGACAGAATAGAAAAGCAGAGAAAAATTCCTGTCACATTTCCACAAAGAGCTTCTCTACTACCTCTAGTGAAAGAACACTTTGTTTTGTCTCCAATTCAGACCAATACTTTTATAAAATATTAAAAATGCCTTGTAAGGAGAGATTTATGTACCCGTAGTGCTGACTACACCCTTTTGGGTGTGGTCACAGGTATATAAACCGTGTAGGGGATAAAAGGGCTAGGGGGAGGAGACTCTCTCTCTTTGAGTTCCAGTTGTGGCCTGGAGAGCAGCGTTCAGACCTTTGGTTCTCATCTTTCTTGGCTTCTCACGTAAGTGATTTCTCCCTCAATAAAATATCATAGGACAACCCTATTTTGTGTAGCTTAATATTTCCACATTAATGCCTTATGGACCATGGGGGGCCTGTAGGGCATGTTCTGAGAATTAGTGTAAAATATGACATGAGTGTAGGGAACAAATAGAAGAAACAATACAAAATGTGCTAAAGTTCTGATATTTAGATCTAGAGGCAAACTTGCAGGTACACAGCTGTCTCCTTTATTTTCAAATGAAAAAATTTACACAGAAAGTCCAAAGTGACACTCAAATAAGAGGGAATTAAGTGTGAATCAAACTAGAATCCAGGTTCCAGGCGAAATCCATGTTTTCCACATCAAGGTCTAAACTTGTAATATTCTGCGTTGAGGAATTAATTGCCCCAGAAAAGAAAAAGTAAGCACCCTTCTCATAAAATTAAGTGTAATTTAAACAGTCATTAAACAAAAGAGAGAAGTCTGTAGAAGAATGCAGGGAAACCCTCAGAAATCAATAAAGTAGCATTTCTTTCTTAACATATATTTGTATGAATTTTCTAGAAGGAAATTTGCAAGTATTCATTAGTTTTCTGCAGACAATGAACAGTTTTTGAGGTACCACAAATTTTTGAATAAAAATATCAGGGCTGCAGTGGGACAAAGTGATTATTTTCTGATTAAAAAAAAACACACAATACGTTTAAACCACTACAGTACTCTTCACCACCCTTACCCCAGGGGATTCTGGCACCATGAGGAGACACTGCTAATTGTCACAATGGGGAATGAGAGAAGCTGCTGGTGTCTTATGGACACGTGCCTCAGAGATAGCCTAAGGCACAACACAGAATTAATCAAGGCAAAGGTCAAATATACCAAGATTGAGAAACCTCAGATTAAACTGTCATGCAGAGACCATATGTCTAAAATAACATAAAAATAAGCCTATTTCATCAGTTCTCAAATGTGGGTCACGCCCCCCAAAGCCCATTGCAAAAGACAGATAGTTACACTATGAATCATCATCGTAGCAAAATTACAGTTATGAAGCAGCAGCAAAGATAATTGTATGGCTGAGGGTCACCACAACATGAGGAACTGTATTAACGGGTGGCAGGGTTTGGAAGGTTAGAACCACTGGCCTAACTGGTCACTTTCCTTTTGAGTGTGCTTTAGCTCTTTTAATAGTGTTTCAGAGTGAGAAAAAACTTCATAGTACTTCCTTCCTCACACAGAGCCTCGTAAGGAAGCTCTGCCTCGTCATTCAGTCAACTCAGAACACACATGGCAATGGAAACAGAACATAAATTAATTAAATCCACAGTGAAGCAATAAAACTCATTTTTCCTATTAGTTGCAACCTTTTTCAGTGGCCACACTGTTCCAAGGGAGAGAGAATGCCACATTTTCATCATTGTTATTAAAACAACTGCTAAAAATCACCAAGGCTATAAAAATGACCCTGGACCTGGAAAGAGCCCTAAGAGCTATGACTGCTTTCTCCATCTCTGTCTGAAATCCTCTCACTGCCCGTGCTAACTATGGTCTTCCCATTGCTATTAATGTATCCCCTGGCACCTTAAGCACTTCCCTGTTTCAGTCTCTTTCTCATTCCTAGAACTCCATAGAGGTTCCCAGAGTCACTTTTACAATGAACTTGACTGTTATTGAATGCAGCTCCTTGAGCCTCACCCAAGGATGCCCGCTTCCACCAACCCAGTGAAACCTGCCTTTCTCTTGCAGACGTCCCTGTGAGTGTTGGCTGTGCTTTCCTTCTCCAATGCTCCCCAGCTACCTTTACAGTCCCTTCTCTCTGCTCATGTACCAGGTCTCCTGACAGGCTCTCTGACTGAGTCTCCTGGCTGTCATCAGGCCCTTTTTAAGGCATCGTCAACAGCTGTCAGTGTTCAAAGTTTCCAGTTGAAACGTTGACACTTGATGGACCCTACTCAACCTGGCTGAAGTACAGAGGTGAATCGCATCCCCAGTTCCTCCAAATGTGGCCAGAAGAGCTCATTCTGTGACATCCACCTGGCCCTCTCGTCCTGAGAAACCCACATCTCATCCACTTTTTTGTATGCACCAATGGGCATACAGGTGATTCAAGGGTCAAACTCACTGCATCTAGGGAGCCAGTCTTGAAACTCACCTGCATAAAGTGGGCTTCTGTGCTTTCTCTGCACGCATAATGTGTAACCCTGGGTCCTCTGCAACCCTTTATATGTAGCAAGTACTTATTACGGGTT